TCTTGAGCCTTGTTGTCATTATTGTTACCTAGTCACAAACTTCAAGCTCCCTCCAAGGAAGTGATGTGTGGCTGAGAGGTTAAAACTGTTTGGATACTGATTGGCCATCTTACAAGAGGGCTTGAGTTCGAATCCCGACTCTAGCAGGGTGGTGTTTACTGAACGGTTGGAAAACTTTCTCCCAGATTCCCCGCCCCCCCCCCCCCGTCCACAAAAGAGATTGGATAATTGCTGATTGGTACCGGTAATTTAAAAAAAAACACCACCACCACCATTATAAACTTGCGCATAACCAGTGCATTGAACAATGAAGTAACATCATGTAATGCTTCAAAAGTGTACAAGTGCATTGCCTTCAGAGATTTAAACAAATCTGCTAAAATTTGATCCAAGCTGATCTACAGCTTACATTTGATTCCAGCTGGTCTACAGCTGACATTTGATTCCAGCTGGTCTACAGCTTACATTTGATTCCAGCTGGTCTACAGCTTACATTTGATTCCAGCTGGTCTACAGCTGACATTTGATTACATTTCAGAAAGACTATAGGACATCACGAATTACCAACACAAAATTAATGTATTTCTTTATGTCATTACAAGGTGGAGTTTTACTGAGAAAGTTTGTCCTCAGTTTGATGCCCCGTGCGGCCTGCACATTGCTAGCTACGCCACTGGTCCATGTACCTGTATTCATCTAGAGATATCTGCCTAAGTCAAGTATTTCATGCATTATTATTTGGTACAGGACTGCAACAAAAAGTAGCCGGGTGGGGGGGGGGGGGGGGCATTCAAGAAACTCTTTCAAAGTTTAGCCACTTGGATTTAATACTAAATATTATTTATTGAACCAATCCTGTAAGCTCTTCCTAGAAAATATAAATATACTTCCATCTAGAAGTACCGGTAACCCTAACCCTAACCAATAAACGAGTCATTTAGTAGATTTCAAAAAAAAATTATTGTTCAACTATTTTGTACCATTAACTATTCTACATTCCTTCCAACTGAGAGTCAGGTGAGCACCCCGCCCTAATGCAAACGTCTAACCAGCTTATGCCTTTTATTTTCTTGACAACGTCTAGGCCTACCTAATTGTCTGTCATGGACAACAAACATGAAGGCTACAAACATACACAACAGGTGAAGTCAAACAAAGCTGTTGAGATGATATCACACTTTATTGGAATCAAACTTCTCTAGTCGATTTTTAGATCTAAATAGCAAACCCTAAAACAACAGTGAGACTAAGAACAAAACAAAAGTGGCATTTATTTACTTGTACTGGCGACCTTGACTAACAACTTAAAGGTCATTGCCGAAATTCTAATTGGTAAGGGCACAAAACAACAAATTACAATGTCAGAAAATCAAAGACTACTTCAACAATAACACAAGGGAAGACAACTAAGTGTCTTTCGCTCTGCAGTATATATAGATCATAGTGTACAGATTTGCATGTGTTGCTCAAGTCTATTGAAATATAAATACACAAGTCTCCATTGTTGGCACCTTACACTTCAAATTATAAATCGCCAACAGTGTAAAAACAAAAAGTGTATCATCTGTAAATAGAATGAACTTGAAAATTAGTTTCAATAGTTTGTGTGATTGAATATCTTCCTCTGAGATACAGTGGCACAAGTGTACCACAGCATGAATACTTTAATCACTTTACAAAGAATGTTCCTAGCTGCATGGACTCACTAGTTTCTTGTAGTGTGGAAACTAGAATCTTGTCTAAGTAACAAAAACATTGATCACAACAGTAGAACACTCACAAAGTTTTAGAGCCAATTGATGTTCACATACTTGGATAGCAATGTCTACACTTGAGCATTTAACATTTTGGTTTCTCAAATAGTCTTCTACTCCAGGAAAGTTAATTTGAGGGTCATTTAACATTGAAGAACATTGATACTCAATTTTGATAAAAATTACATTTTATTTTGTTGAGAAAATGAATTTAAAATTTGATAGCCAAAAATAAAAACATTGTTTTAATTCTCTCGGGAGAATCGAACATAAACCATGCATTTGTATGGGCTGTCTAAAATGAGCCTGCTCTAAATCAAAGATTGTAGACTGAAGCTGTGCATCACCTACACCGTTAACTAAGTCTACTACATTAGTTGTTGCACTACAAACTAATAAGTTCTGACACAAATTGTACACTCACTAGGACCTACTAAAGGCAGCCTTAAACTAAATAATGATTGTCCATTATCTGCAAACTTAAAAACATCATGAGTCCCAGTGTATGGACTTACCCAAACTAGTGCTGACTGCCTCTAGAGCTAGTGATGTAAACACACACACAATTCAAATAAAATCTCAAAAAAAAAAAAAAAAAAAAAAAGATGAAAATGAATACATGGAACCTAATGATTTGTGCTATTTGGAGTCAAACCACTACATTCTGATTTTGTGACCTGGTGATTGACCTATTAAAAAAAAAAAACACTTCCATTTTTGAATGAAACCTCATCAGTGCTCTTAGACACTTGACATAGAATCACAGTCTGCCATGAACAAGTGGTATAGATACACTTCCAAATCAACCTTTGTTTTAACACAAGTCAGTATGAACAGGTTCCTTTGGATTTATAATTATTTGTCCATTTCCAATTTGCTGTCTTTTCAAGTGTCATCATTCAATTAATTGGCCATGTCAAACAAAACACAAGGCCTTAAAAATGTTCACTATTAACAGATTGAAGCAAACATGAATATTAGTATCATTTCAACATTTCTTCAAGTTAACAGAAAAAAACAACAAAAACCAACAACAGATGTCCAAATGTTTGCTACTGAAATGTTTGAACATTAGAATGAAGTGTGTGAGAAAATGAACCAATATCACAGTTGTCCAGGAGAAATAAAACACAAATTTCTTTAAGGCATTGATCAAATGTAAGGATGACTTCATAATGATGTTCATGGAAATGAATTTCAATTAGTTAACAAAATCTTGGTAGTGTAAACACAAATCTTTGGACCTGGATTCCCAGATTCCAGAGGTCATAAAGTTGTATGTCCCTAAAATTTCAGTCTATTCATTGTTTTTTTAAAATCCTTATCCTAAAGTTTCCAGTGAACAGCATCACATAATGTTCTTGGTGACAGTCCTACTTGTACTAAGCAGTAATGGTTGGCAGGTAAAGCATGGTCAAAAGCAATTTACTAAGTAGAGCTGTGACTTTATTTGCATAGAACTGCACAAGTGAAGGGATGAAAGAGACATGTTCATTTCTTTTGTTATACCTTTATGTCATGTGTTCAATGCTGGTTTACTAGTGTGTTTGTGTGACTAACATGAACTCCAGTAGTTTCCTCTGACAGAAGCAGTGAACATAGTGATATGTGGAGAGATTGGAGTTGACCATGAGAAGTCACCCAAGATGAAGGTGATGCTGCTGCCTGCTACATACACAGTGGATCAAAAGATATGAAGTTTGGAACAACGTAAAAAATTAAAAATGGGTTTAAATTGATGTTATCATTATTTCTATTAAATGCAAAACTCTGCAATTTGTAGAGAATGTGTGATGAGCTCATGAACTATAAATAGCTTCCTATCAAATGCAATTTGATCAACTTTATACCACAGTGAAGCCCTACATTCTGATGGAAGAATGTCAGCTCCTACCTTAACAATGATTGCATGAGTATTTGATTGATCAGTATTTAGTCTAATGCACTGGGAAGACTATAGAGAAATACAAAGACACACACATGCAAAATAGTAGTGCACAAAAAGTCATTGCAAATCGCTGCATTGGATGAAATGATGATAGATTTCAGATTGATAAGAAAATTGTCATTTAAAAATCCTATATTTTTGGGGGTTAAAAAACAAACAAATTCAGATAATTTAGGTTGTCAAACATATTAGATGGATAAAAGAATACAATTTAACATTTTTTAGCTCATTATTTTTATAAAAATCTTAAACAAACAAACTCTCTCCCCCCCCTCTCCCCATAAAAAACTTTTGTAACATTTAGCTGCACCAAGCAAGAAAAAATGCCTCACAATTAACCTACTAATAGCAGGCTTTACATTTATTAGTTTCATTCAGGTAAACAAGAAGTAAATACTAATACAGGTGACTAACAATGGTGGGCTGAGAGGAATATCTCCTCATCTCCATATATCATGACTCTTTTTTCTTCCACTTTTATCATGAAATAATTAATAAGATCAATTTAAATCAGACAGAATCTAAAATGGCAACCAGAAAATTGAGTACAAATTTTTCAAACTGTAAATAGACACACAAAAAATGAATTGAATGAAACAGTAACAATAAATTAATTCAATTTAACCCCATTGTCTTTGCATTTATTGTAAATAACATTGACAACTTTGTTTTGAAAAATATATTTATAAAAAAAAAAAAAAAAAAAAAGGCCCAAACTTCAATTTATTTTGGAATGCAGAGAATGACCTACACAAGCTACCTACATAGAACTTTTAGGATTTCTCCATTTTCTCTGCCCCACTAAACACAAAATTTGATCCAATAAAACTAGAAAAAAAAAATGGAAAGATATAGAAAAGTTAGCAGTATTTCATAGGTGGGAAGCGTGGTCGAGAGGCTAAGTGCGCTTGAACTTGGCTTGTCTTGGCTACCTAGAAGGGGGCTCGAGGTTCGACACCCGACTCGGGCAGAGTTGGGTTTACTGAGCACCTAAAGGCAGCACGGAAAACCAACTCCTAGATACCCCCTCCCCCCACCGGTCCACAAATGAGATTGGACCAAAGCGCTCTGAGCATGCTATAAGCATGAAAGTAGCGCTATATAAAAGCTATAAAGCTATAATATGTTCACAACAATATTGTCTAAAAAAAAATAATTATAAAATGTCCATCATTGAAACAGACAAAACTATTAATGATAGCATTAAAGAAACTTGTTCACTCTTCAGTTAGACCAACATCTATTCAGTCAACTTTTCTTTGCAAAACTTTTGACAAGCCTTAACTTGTTGATAAAAAAAATAATAAATAAAACTCACCAAGCATAAAGAAAAAAAAAATAACACTTGAATTCTATTATTTAAAATTAAAAAATAACAACAATAGATCAATAAAAAGGAATAAAGATTTAGCTCACATTAGATTGTAATCATCAATAAAAAAACAAACATAAAAAGGACATCCGTGTTAGAACCAAATGGAAGAGAGAAGAAGAGCAAGCTAATGGGGCAAAGAGGGTGAATACAAGTTCCTGAGTAAATAGAATAAAGACAACTTTTAGAAACTGCCTGCATATGAACTGAACTGTTTTGATCTACAACATACATTGGCTGGTATGGGCACTGCAGTGTCTAGGATAGTCATCACTTAGCTCACAAACACATCCACATCACAGGTTCCTCAATCAATGATAGTTACTCATGTACACAGAGTTATCAACATACTTTGATTAGTACAGCCATGACAACATCATTACTTTCTCAACAGTCACACTCAACATCATTCTTAAACAAAATGCCAGCATTACTTTCATAATTTAAACATTACTTTCACATCAAAAACTATCTTCATATATAGACCATTATAACAGTGTTAACCAAAAGTACATAAGTCTATGTACCAGTAGCATTAGATAATAAAACTGATATGAACTACTTTGGCTGAATAGTATTATGTTCAAATGTGTGTTGAAACAACTGCATCCAAAAAAATAAAAATGTTTATAAGCTAAAAATGTTTATCTTTACCATTTAAAAAAAATGTGTTCGGGCTTGTTTCATTGTTTAAACTCTGGTCCCAATGTTGGTACTACTTGACTGTGACTCGAACTTCAATTACACTTCAATCAAAAGCTAACATATTATGTAAATGCCATGTTATTAATGTAATTCTACAAATGCACATTGTGTACCTCAGCTATCTGACAATATTTTTGAGACAGTCGGCTAATATTTCCACTGGGACAAAGTTGAGCATAGTCAAAGACAACCTTCTTTCCATTTTTAGTTTCTGTGGAGTCATTTGGAAAACCTCATGCTTTACCTTTTCAATTGAAGGATTATTAGAACAGTTTCAAAAATGAACTAAAAAGATGAACAGATTTGGGATGTGACCAATGAATAACAGCATTCAAGTTGAATTTAGACTACCAGGGCAGTGAATACAGTACAAATACAATGGCCAAAATTGACTTGGATGTATTATCACAGATAGTAGATTTGACCTTGCATTGCTTGGATACTACTGTTGAGCACATTTTGGCCATAAGTTTAGTTTGATTCAATGCAAGAGAGAGGCAAATAAAAACAAATCTACTTGTTAGGTAGCTTACTCTAAATATGTAGTTGATCAAGCCAACGCTAGGACAAATTTTCTGTCACTGAACATGAATCAGTGGAAGAAAAAAAAAGATGAAATTATTTGCTGCCTTTTATTTTTGTTTTAAATAAGTTGATTGGGTTTTGGGCAACCAGCTTGTGACACACATAGCTGGGGCAACCAGCTAGTGACACACAAAGCTGAATCAGACAGGACAAAAACATTGAAGCCAATGAAAGGTTTAATATTTGTTTCTCATGGGTGGAATACACAACTTGGAAACTGAACAGAATTCTCTACCTGGACTTTAATCTGTCATTTTTTCTTTAGATAAAAGCAAAAGAATTGCCAATGGTTAGCACTGAAAGTAGAGACTCTGCCTACAAAAGTGCCAAGACAAAAAAAACACAACAATCATGATTAATTGATCTGAACAAATGTCAAAATAAAAAGAATGAATGTGGTATTGAACCACGTATTTGTATGTACACCCCACATCTGATATATCTAATAACTCTACACTGCAAGCTATTACCTAGTGACAATATCAACTAAATATACTAGTATCCACAAATAGTAGACTCTACTCAATAAATAGAAAATAACACACGTCTAGTAACACAATATGAATATATGTACAGGATGGATTTGAACGAAGCATCACATGGTTTGGCAATAGATTAGATGAAAATGTGTACAATACTGAAAAAAACTTAACACTTCGTTCAAAACCAGCCCAAAAAAATAACAACATCATGGGAGCTGATTATTTTGTGTGACAAGAAAGCCCTTTAGTTGTTTAGTCTGAGGGAAACTAGACCACTAAGTTTGTTTGCATTGAACATTATCAACTGTGACAACAAACAATTTGGGGGTTGGGTGGTGGTGGTGGCATGATGGCGGATTCATTTCTATATATTAAGATCAACGCTATTTATAGTATTTACAAATCTGTGCATTGATGAGAATCTTGTAGATAAATGACAAGTCAACTTCCTCCATTACCTGGTGGCTGACACTATCATCACATTGCAGGACTGAGTACAGACTAGTAATGAGCAGAAGAAAGTCATATGGCACACCCCCAAAAAAAAGCCCCAAGGACTTTAAGCTGTACTGTAACTGTCTGACCAACCAGGAGATCACAGAGGGAAGTGACCAGGAGAAGGAATGGCTCATTGGTTAAATTACGTGTTTCATGACTGGAGATAAGGCAAATGGTGAAAGTAGATGACATCAACAAGGGTGGTGAGTCTGTACATATGTACAAAGCTGGGCTATATGGGATGAGACTATGCCGTTAAGACATACACCGCTCCCTAGAGTAAGCCAATACATTGAACATAACATGCTAACACTTTTTGACATATTTATTATTATTGTTACTTTTTTTTTTTTTTTTTTTTTTTAAGTCAGCATGCAATTAATTTTTTAAAATTAATGCATGTGTTCCACTTTCAATGTTAAAACCAAATTGGAAAGTATTATTGGCCAACATGCAAAGAGAAACGTTTGTTCCCCATACAATAAATAACCAGTACAACAAGCATTCTCTTTGAATAGGAATAGCATCATTCCATTCAGTCACAAGTTGACTTCCTTTCTTGATGACCACATTGTAGGTCACCTTTCATTCAATCTTACACACTTAAATAGCTGTTAGTAGCATTTTTATACACATTTTTTTCTTTTTTTTTTATGTATTTATTTATTTTTTAACTTTTTTTTTGTTAATTTTTTTTTAATTTTTAAATTTTTTTTTTATATTTTTTTTTCTTCACAATTTTTTTTTTTTTTTTTTTTTTAAATTTTGTGTATGACCAATCAAATTGATTTTCACTTGATGTGTATTGATGTAAAAGATGATTCAGAAAAGACAAGAGTAAATTGCTCTGATTATATAGAGGTATACACTCCGCTAGTCCACAAGCCTATATACATGTGTGCATACACTGCAATATCAACAGTCTAGATCAAAATAAAACAAAGTGGTCTGAGTGGACTAGTTTCCCCTCGCCAAGATACTATTCATTTATTCATTCAGAAAAGTCTTGTTTTTCATATATATATATATGTATAAATTATTTAAAATAAAATATATTATTTTGAGGTCAGCTGGAGTTTTATGCATGAGAAAAGTGCAGTGCCAAACCAAATACGTTCTTTGAAAAAAAAAAAAAAAAAAAAAAAAGGGGATCAAGCGGGCGAATTGGGTCACACATTGCTGTGCACATTCATCATCTATATTATGTCAGTTGAAGACTTAACTCCATGTCATTATCCATAGTCTGTGTCTTACTGTCAGAGTTTAAATACAAAAGTGTTTTGCTTTGCAGAAATATAGAAATATTTTACTCACTGGCAAAACGTAGCCACTATCTCGAATATTGCTATATTAAACAGCCCAGAACAGAACTATACCATAAAGCAATTCCTAAAAACAATTCTGAAACAAACTTGTAGCATCTTTTGAATGTCTTATTTCTTAAAATTCATTTTAAAAAAAGGTTAGAAAATAGATGTATTAGCCAAAGACAGGCTTTAACGTACAGCTTTCAACAGGTAGCGGACTTAACCTATTCCAAACTACCACTTGTTGTGAGATAAAGCCTGATAGATTTGATGATATACCATCACTAGCATACCTGTGTATGTTGTCCAACACTTTCTTCAAGTTTCCAGAAATGCATCAAGATACGAATCAAAAAAGCACTGACATGCCACTTATTGAACTTGTATACACAAGATAAACATGAGACATGTTTTTAAATAATGTGATAAAATATAAAATTCTTCCCCAGCAAAGTTAGAAAAAAAAATTTGTTTTATTTGAAATCAACTTGATCTTTATCCTAAGCATTTACAGAGCAATTACTAGAGATAAACATCAAGTATAAATTAATCTCAACAACTGTCAGACCTGAGTTGCATGTTCAATTAATACATACATATTCATACAGGCTGTGGCAGTACCATTAACAAACTAGTCCGAATAAAGATGGACAAAGCAAATATTTTTTTTTAAAAGTAAAAAAAAAAAAAAGTTTCTCAAATGTTATTCAAATTTTGTGCACCATTCAATTTATTAATGTATTTTTTACAAAATGCAGTTAAAAAGACTACAAAAAACTGCTGAAAAAAAAAAAAAAAAAAAAAAAAAAGGGTCTGTCTAACAGTTTGGTGCAGGATGATGGCTCCATTTAGTAAATTACTTAACTCACATTGGCCATATTTGAAGAGCGAAGCATTTCTTAGTGACTTGCTCTACCTAGTAGGAACCAGGCAGCTGGTCACTCGCTTCTAGTGTCAGTCTTTGTTTTGTTCTGGTCACATTTTCTTTAGATGATGAATATGTACATTCCTGCACTCACAAGGATGAGGGGAAAAAGTAAGCATCAAATGAAGACTTTCTCTAATGTTGACTTGCCCTCAGGAGTCAGCATCCAACATTTCCAAGAACAGCTTGTGCATCATGACACGACCATCTTTCTTCATGTCATACCAGAACTGTTTGGCCAGTAGTTTAATGTGTGTGATGGACGGCAATAAAAGAAATAGCTGGCCAAGGCGGCGTGTGTTTGGACCAAAGACAGATTTAACACAGTCAGAAAGAGAATCCTGGAGCTGGTCCTGGAGGTGGGAAACACATTCCCCAAGCTCTGCTATAACATCTGAAATACATAAACACAACAAACGTTCCATCAATTAAGTACCAGTACAAGCATAGATTTCTATCCAATAAGTTTATAGACTAATTTCTAGTTTATATTATTCTCTCAATCAACTTGTAAATAACAGTTTTAAGCTGAATCTGAAGAAATCTTGAATCCATATCAGAAAAAAAAATCTTATTTTTGCTTCTTGAAATAATGACACATTTATTGTAAGTGTGTCTCTGAGTGAAGGATAGGAACATCCCACACAAAAAGTACCTGAATTCAGCTGAAGGAATTAGTTTCAATCAATTATGGAAAGGTAAGAACTCTTTCAAGGATTTTAATTGTAGAACTAACAAAGTTAAATATAACTAAAATATAGGCATCCATCATTTCTTCAACCCTACACCTAGCTGTTCCCTATAACTGAGACACCCCCCCCCCCCCAATTCTTACTATTGTCAGTAAATTTCAAGATTTATCTCATCAATCCAATTGTTCTCTATGTCTCTGTACCTTGAACCAAATACATTACTCTTGATAAAATTCTGACTTCTAAGTCAACTAAAATACAAATGTGAAAAAAACCAAGACCTTAAGTTAACATGCTTTGTTAATCATAACATAATTCACACCAAGTCAATTCAAACACATAGGGGCTAACATTTACAATGACTAAACATGAGATTTAATTATGATTGGTTGATTATTTGTATATACTGATGCATTCCATGGGCCTAGAGTTCTAAGAATGTTTGACTCAACTGTTAGGACAACTACAAAGGTCAAGTAAAAAACCAGAAAAAAAAAAAAAAAAAGATGTACAACAGCTATTTTGGGAATTACAGAAAAATCAGTAGTGTGGTAATGAAATCTATATCATTTCCTATATCCAATGGTAATTAAGAATACTTTTCACTTACCTATATTACAAAGTGTAATAGCTTTAAGAAGAACAAACTCTTCTTTTGTCACGCCAAGATGAGTGAATTTTTTACAGAGTTTACGCAACAACAAGTCTAGCTCTGTTGGAAAGCTGAGTGTCTCTACCATTTCTTCAGAGATCTGAAGGTCCTCAGCAAAGCATATGTTACCTTTGTAAGGACAGGAACGAAACACCAGGCTGAGCATTAGGATCTCCAGCCAGGAGTGTTGAAGTAACATCATTTGGTCCACTAGAGACAAGTTGGAGAAACCTGCAACAAGCAATACAGTAGCTTTAGATGTTATGTTTACAAAGTATAGCCAACTGCACATAGTACACTGATCACATAATCAAGGAAATTAAAGACTTTCCACACTTTTTTTTCCCCAGATAACATTAAATCTCACTTGTCCTTGTCCCTAACCCCCATTTTGTATTGACATCTTCAATAGGTAAGTAATACACAAGATTAGTCTACAATCAAATATCAGTGTTAAATATAACATGCAGAAACATTTGACTTCTTCCCACTCCAATCATCCTTTTTTTTTCCTTTTAAATGTATATACCAAGCAAGTAAACAAATCACTTTCACTTGGGAGCCATTTGTTCTGGTCAAAGATTCACCTGGTACTTGCTTGGCCCAGCTAATTGTCATGACCAATTCTCTGTCAGCCAGATCTGAGGCAGCAGCCATAAATTTCACATCAGTATCAATGGCAGTCTCTGTGCTTGCACGTAAACATTCCATTTGGGACTCCAGTGCCAATAACATGGATAAAATTTTGTTGTCTGTGGCTAGAGAGAGAGAGAGAGAGAGAGAGAGAGTCAAGTATATGAAGATTAAAGTAAATGTCATGGGGTGATCTTCTACCAGTTTGTGTACAAGGTGAAGCTGGCTTGATTATTTACTTTATTGGGAAGAATAACACTATGTACCTACAGAAATAGGTTCAACTTCATCTAGTATTACAGAACTAGTCTATAAAAACACCAAGTGTCTTGGAGTGTATTTAATCTTCAGAAACTGAACAATATAATATGGGTTCAAAACAAAAAAACAGGAAATGATGCAATTAAATTGACAAACACTTGGGTAAAGCTATTCCAATGCCATTTAAATATCTGCAATAAATAAGCCAATTTTCCTGTGGACTTAAGAGCCACTAATACTTAAATATGTCAAGGCAGGCTGAGATTTATCCCAAGCAAACCCTGGTCTAGCCCAGTTTCTCCAGTCAATGAAATCGTTTCTTATCAGTCCATGCTATTTTTAGCCCCACTAATGACCCTTCACTCAATTAAGTGCTCTAAATCTGACATCACCAGTCATCATAAATTAATAAGCCATCATAAAAATCTATGTTTAGAAACAAGGGGGTCAAGACCAAGTAAACCACCAGTAAAGTTTGAAATGCTTGTTATGTCAACATGACATCTAGGTAAAAGGGGGGGGGGGGGGGGGAATGGGATGAACAACTTGCAAACAACAGATGGAGAGATTGGCTCAATATTTGCTACACTGGAGTTTTTAAACATTTCAAAGTGACCACAATGTGGTTGCTGAGTGATTAGTGCTTGACTGTCAAAACCAAAGGTCTAATTCAAGTGTTCAAAACCTATTGGTTACTCATATGTATTGGTCATTCTAAAAATATCTCAATGGACTGGTCATTGTGTATGTCAATAGGACTGGTCATTGTGTATGTCAATAGGACTGGTCATTGTGTATGTCAATAGGACTGGTCATTGTGTATGTCAATGGGACAGGTCATTGTGTATGTCAATGAGATTGGTCATTGTGTATGTCAATAGGACTGGTCATTGTGTATGTCAATAGGACTGGTCATTGTGTATGTCAATGGGACAGGTCATTGTGTATGTCAATGAGATTGGTCATTGTGTATGTCAATAGGACTGGTCATTGTGTATGTCAATAGGACTGGTCATTGTGTATGTCAATGGGACAGGTCATTGTGTATGTCAATGAGATTGGTCATTGTGTATCTGTTATGTCTGCAAAGTACAAGATTACTATTACTTTGAAGAATGTAGAGAAAAACGAAAATTAGACTCAAGTGCCTCAACATGCTTCAAACTTCCTTCATACCAACAAGTAAATATTTCATTTGTTTGAGCAAGAATGTGTATTTACTTCAGCATACTTAAGGCTAGCTTCCATTGTTTAAAACAAGTTTGTGGCTAACCATTCATTTCACCCCAACCTCCATCAATTGTCTCTAAACCTGACAGGAGATAAACATACAAGTAATGTCAACTTCCTGTAGTAGTTTGACACCATGCTGAAGCTGAGGTTTATACACTACCCCACTCTTATCTGATGGAGACACACTATAAAGCAACAATAAAAAGACAATAAAACTCAAGAAGGAAATAGCCCTTATGTCATTCAAACCAGTTAGTCTAAGACTACTTGGAAGTTATAGAAAAATTGAGAACAAGAGGAATCAGCTATTGCTCTTGTCACGCTCTAGTGTTGTTCTTTCTTCTTTAGGTCAATGTTCTGATGAGGGGGAAACAACTCTTGACATTTAATACTAAAGTGTACATTGATTGACTAGGAAAGTACTCACTTTCAATGCAGGATTT